TTTAATTTTTTACGCGTATACGTACAAAAGAAATCAAACGTAACCCCCCCCCCCCACCCCCACCGGCCCAAAACATCGCATCTAATCTTATATAAACATTGGCAAATAATATATCAATTTAAATCTTTCTACTGCCTGCTTCATGGCATAATGCAGCAAAAAGTAAAGGGTCAATGTTTACACTTTATGACTACCTTGGTTCCGAATGGTAAAAACTGATTTAACTATTGAGTCATTTCACAATAATATAAGCTTAGGTCGAGTTGGTTCAGGAAATTGCGTGCTTGCTTTGAAATAGCGAGGGGGTTGCTGCATGCGTGTATTTTTAGTTTTTTAAAACATTATACATTTTAATATCAGTGACAGTTTCTGTCCTGACTTCAGTGGCGGCGCGTAACGTAAGGCTCTTATTACAAACTATAATTAGCACTCGAAGTTCTAAACAGACAAAATATGTTAAACAAAAAATATGCCCTAGAATCTTGGCTTGAACCATTGTTTTACTGCTTTCAATTGCGAAGTTATTGCTTTCAATTACAATCGCGATTGTATAATTGTCGACATTTGACAGTCCTGGGCCCTACCAACCTTAACAAGAATAAATTTCGTTTGAAACTCGTGTCTGTTCTTAGATACGTACACACTGCTAGCATCTAGACGTTATACAGCTAAGAATTTATCTAATATAATAAAAGTAATAAAATAATAATAAAAATAATAATAAAAGTAATAATAATTTATCTATATAATATATTTTGATCAACTCCAAATCCGCCAACGGGAAAGAACTGCTATGCTGCTATTCTAAGGGACTGAATAATCATAATTACTTACAGTTTAGCTATATAACGGAAAGAAATTTGCATCAGAAATTCATCGATTCAAAGCTTAAAACCAGTTTACACATCGTATAGGTAGCATTTAAGGTTTCAAATGACTGGAGCACATTAAGTTAATTTTACTAAATTTTAAAGTCATTCAAACACAGAGAAAAATAACTAAGCTGCAGGGATTTTTAGAAATGAAAGTAAAATTTAAGCGAGCGATCATTCCTTTGAAATACACACCCGCGTGAATGATTTAGACGAAGCTTGACCGCTTCAAGGCTTCCTCATCTATAAATTTTATACCGTCTGTAAATCGTGGTGTATGGAGTGCATATACAGTGATAGAGGTTTTAAGTTAAGAGTTCCGAGTATTCCATAACCCATCGCGCTCTCAAGGCAAACCTTATTGAATTATCTGCACACGACTCCTACCTGCCGATCCTTTTTAGAAACGTTCCTGCACAAGATGTAACGTTTGTGAGATCGCCATTGCAAGAATTAACTAGAATTTAGCGAGACAAAGGACATGATCTTACCGTCAAAAAAATAAAAACGGTTCTTTAGGCGAATGCAAGTCTTCACACTTCTCACAGAATCTGCAAATACGTGTGTTGGCAGCAGGTGAGCATTTCAATTATGCATGGTCTTCAATTCCCTTTTCTGGTTGCAAAATTTAGAAAATGTATGTAGGTTGTCAGATACACACTGTTAGCAACTATAGACGTAAGCAAAAAGTAAGTTATCTCACCTTCATAGAGAACTTTAAACGAATGTGAATTGTGAGGACTTCAAACAAACGCGAGCTTTCAACGTTGTATACACACTTTTTTATTAAGCTGTGTTATAAAAGCCTTTAGAATAATTGAATGTGTTTCATTATGCATTAGCGACTTTTATTGTCTCTTTCTTGGAAGAAACTATCGTTAATGATATGTCTGAAGTGAAAGCGAAAGAAACATTTTCAATTCGTTTGATAGTTAGCAGCATTCAAGCAACCGAAGAAAAGCGGTTTTGAATCCCTTTTAGTTTTTATTACAACTCAGGAATCGAATATGAGCCTAGCGAGCTTGTAAAATGATCACATGAGGTCAAATATCAAATTGTCTTTGTGTGGCGGGGAAATGCCGTATACATAATCACCTCTGCTTCGGCCTTATAGTGCTTAAAAATAATTTCTCCGAGGAAAATGTGTGTAGGTTGTCAGATACACACTGCTAGCAAATAGACGCCTAAGCAAAAAGAAAGTTATCTCACCTTCATAAAGAACTTTAAACGAATGTGAATTGTGAGGACTTCAAACGAACGCTAGCTTTCAACGTTGTATATACATACTTTTTTATTAAAGATGATGTAAAGTCCGTTCTGAGCATATATTCTCCCCATAACAATGTTTGTTTACGTTGGTTATATAATCTTTACATGACGTATGTGTCGTTTCAATTTTCTTATTTTCTTCTCGTTCTCGCTCGACCGGCTGTGTTGAATATGCTTATTTTATATTATATTTTGAAGAAAATATTATTATATTTTGAAGAAGATATAAAGCGAAGCTTGTTAAAAAAACCGGCCGTTATTTAAAACTATATATTATATACAGTATTTGTAATTGTAGGACAAGCGAGAAAGTAGCGTCTGTAGCGACGACAAATAGCCTCGCCATCTCGTGTCCTCATTCAACAAATAAATTCTTGAAGCATTCCTTTCAGCATAATATTGCTCTTATCTAGCAGCCTTATCTCCGTCACTCGCAATTCGAGCCTAACATAAGATAAAATAATTGTGTTGTAATACAACGCGTTAATATCGCATATCATTAACATTCCAAAATTTGCTCCCCCAAAATTGCTCCCCTAAAATTGCTCCCCCACTGATGGAATGTGTTGCTGCGCACAATATATGCGCAGAACGGATTTTACATCATCTTTAATCTGTGTTATAAAAGCCTTTAGAATCATTGAATGTGTTTTGTTATGCATTAGCGACTTTTGTTGTCTCTTTCTTGGAAGAAACTATCCTTAATGATATGTCTGAAGTGAAAAGTGAAAGAAACATTTTAAATTCGTTTGATAGTTAGCAGCATTCATGCTCCCGGAGAAAAGCGGTTTTGAATCCCTTTCATATACCAAAAATGCAATTTTAGTAAAAATATTTTTGTAAAATGATATAAGAAACGGCCATCAAGTGTACTTTCCGTTGAAGTAACCAACAGCGCCATTAAAATGCTTTAAATCTTTTTTTCGTCCATAAATTTTATGCCATCTTTAATTTTACAATACTGCCGTTTTTATGCGAGTGTATCCGTGGATGGTTAGAATATTTACCTGCATGGCTTATGGTCTAACCTGCTTGTAATATTATCTACCGGCATAACCGTCTAAACAAAGTCGGGTGTGTAAAACCAACGGTTTTAGCCCCGTTTACACTGTACCCAATTTATTGGCATGGCACAGCTAAAATAGGGACCCGTGCCCATCTCATCTGTGCCCGGCCTTTTTTTAGTACGCTGAACAATAATAAAATTGGGTACGGGTACCCATTTTAGACGTGCCGTGCCAATAAATTGAGTGTAGTGTAAACGGGGCTACCCGGCTGAATATCATGCATGCAGATAATTTAGGTATTCAAAACAACCATTTTGGCTACTACAAACGATTGTAAAGTGGGTAGTGTTTTGCTCTATAACGTTGGTAAATTTTGTATTTTTTAGACCTTGTATTTTCATCATTACTTGACCTAATTTTACATCCACACTCCTTATATATATAACAACTCGTGAACTCATTCACGGCCTAATTTTCGTTGTGTATCACTTCATCTTGATTGAAAAATCTCTCCGGAATTAAAAGTTAATTATTTTATGGATAAATGCCTACATTGGCTAAATATCCTTGCCTTAAAATTGAAATCAGAACGCCCCTCCGTGCAAAGTTTTTAGTCCAGTTCGAAGTTTGAGATCTGCAACATTACAGTGGAGGGACTGGGGATGACAACACAACTGAAACTTCGCGTTATCAGGTTAACTAGCTGCTTAGGAATATTTGGCAACAACACGAAAAAGGCAGCTCGTTGAAAACCCGAAATTTTGGAACTGCATGGAAAGGAGCAATTAGTTATTTTTTTTTCGATAAAATTTAATCGGATTTATAATTGTCCTGAATGAAGTGAGCAGTATCATATTTGCCATACAAAATGGATTTGAAACGTGTAACTGAAGTCAGTACATGTCTAGAATTTTAATTAAAGTTGCCTTGCAATCGCTTTAGATGTAAGTTAAACAAATTGTATATATACATTATAAATTATGTGAAAATCAAATAACCTATGATTGATGGTGTTTTTAAACAGTATTAACTATTGGTGAACGCCATTTTGTTTTTGATCTAGTCCGAAGAAGACGTTAAATATCGATCTTCTGTGGAAATTACTCATCTTTGGATATATCCCAACACAAACGTCGCATATATAGCTGCAATCATACGGCAATACAATATAAAAGTGGATTTTGTATCCTTAATATTTTGCTATCAAATACGTAAATACGGGGGGTACTTAGATATTATTTCCCTACTCCAAATACTAGGTGACGTGTCCCCCCATCCGTCCTTGAGAGGAGTTCAGAATAATACGAAAAATTGCTTTACACATGCAATTTTTTTCAAATTTTAACGACTGTTCATGTAAAAATGTTATAGCTAATATCAACACAGAATAGTCGTCTAAAGTATTTTATGATATAGCACAAAGATGAAATAGCTGTTAACTTTATAAAGTGCGTGCGAAATTTCTGCGTTTGCAATGAGTTATATCAATACGTCTCTTGCATTAGCAACAAGCGTTTTATAAATTATTAGTATTATATAACATAACTATATGTCCAAAGTATGAGCTATATTCGAATGAAGAAATGACAAGTCTGCGAAAATGTTTGAAATTGGCGCTCTAAATCCTCAATGAATGTAATTTAAATATTGTAATAACGGTGAGCAAGGTGCGGTTCTTCTCCTTCGAATAATGGCAATGCAATTCCGCAGGTTTTATGCCGTAAATCTACTGCTGACGTGTAATAGTTTCCGTCTGATTCATCTAGGTCTTCTGGGCTTAGTTTTGATCTGATTTCCTGAGCCTTTTTAGCCGATTCTGACGATGCCTTGTGATTATTCATTTTATCTTGCGTCATTGCAATTTTAAAAAACTGTCCGCCGTCCCTGGATGGACCTCTCCATACAGTTTCAATCTAATCTGCAGAGCTTTTTGATGCGACTCTAAGGCTAATGGGTAATCTTTAATCTCATAGTGTGAGGCCCCAATGTTGTGATAACTGTCAGCAGTTTGAAGATGGTTTTCTCCATGTAATTTTATTCTGATTGTTAGAGCTTTTTGATGAGACTCTAATGCTGACGCGTAATATTTCATCTTATGTTGCGTGACCCCAATGCCACTATAACAGTCAGCTGTCTTAGGATGGGCTTCTCCATACAGTGTTTGTCTAATTTGAAGAGCTCTTTGGAACGACTCTAATGCTAATTTGTATCCTTTCATCGCATCTTGCGTGATTGCATTGTTAAAGTAACTGTCAGCTGTGTCAGTATGATCTCCATATACTCTTAGTCTGATTTCAAGAGCTTTTTTATTCGAATGCGATGCTGATATGTAATCTTTCATCTCGTGTTGCGTGATTCCGATGTTGTAGTAAATGTCAGCTGTGTCAGGATGGTCTTCTCCAAATATTCCTACTCTAGTTTCAAGAGCTTTTCGATACGACTCTAATGCTGATTTGTAATCTTTCATTGCGTGATGCGTGATTCCAATGCTGTAATAACTGTCAGCTGTATCAGGATGGTCTTCTCCATAATGTTTCAATCTGGTCTTAAGAGTTTTTTTATTCGATTCCAATGCTGAGTTGTAATCTTTCATCTCATGTTGTGTGATTCCAATGTTGTAATAACTGTCAGCTGTTGCAGGATGATCTTCTCCGTATAGTCTTAGTCTGATTTCAAGAATTTTTTCATACGATTCTAATGCTGACTGATAATCTTTACTCAAATGTTCAATGACTCCAATGGTGAGATAATTGGAAGCTGTCAAGGGGTGGTTTTCTCCATGGACGTATAATCTGATTTCAAGAGCTTTTTGATACGACTCTAATGCTGATTTGTAATCATTCATCGCAAGTTGTGTGATTCCAACACTGTAATAGCTGTCAGCTGTTTCAGGATGTTCATTTCCGTATAGTCTTAATCTAATTTCAACAGCTTTTTTCTTCAAATCTAATGCTGATTTATAATCTTTCATCGCATGTTGTGTGATTCCGATGCCATAATAACTGTCAGCTGTGTCAGAATGATCTTCTCCGTATAATCTTAGTCTGATTTCAAGAGCTTTTTGCTTTGAAACTAATGCTGACTGATAATCTCTAATGACATGCTGTATGAGTCCAATGGTGTGATAATTGGAAGCTGTCAAGGGGTGATCTTCTCCGTGTACTTTTAACCTGATTTCAAGAGCTTTTTGATACGATTCTAATGCTGATTTGTAATCTTTCATTGCGTGATGCGTGATTCCAATGCTGTAATAACTGTCAGCTGTATCAGGATGGTCTTCTCCATAATGTTTCAATCTGGTCTTAAGGGTTTTTTTATTCGATTCCAATGCTGAGTTGTAATCTTTCATCTCATGTTGTGTGATTCCAATGTTGTAATAACTGTCAGCTGTTGCAGGATGATCTTCTCCGTATAGTCTTAGTCTGATTTCAAGAGCTTTTTCATACGATTCTAATGCTGACTGATAATCTTTACTCAAATGTTCAATGACTCCAATGGTGAGATAATTGGAAGCTGTCAAGGGGTGGTTTTCTCCATGGACGTATAATCTGATTTCAAGAGCTTTTTGATACGACTCTAATGCTGATTTGTAATCATTCATCGCAAGTTGTGTGATTCCAACACTGTAATAGCTGTCAGCTGTTTCAGGATGTTCATTTCCGTATAGTCTTAATCTAATTTCAACAGCTTTTTTCTTCAAATCTAATGCTGATTTATAATCTTTCATAGCATGTTGTGTTATGCCAATGCTGTAATAACTGTCAGCTGTGTCAGAACGATCTTCTCCATATAGTCTGAATCTGACTTCAAGAGCTTTTTGCTTTGAAACTAATGCTGACTGATAATCTCTAATGACATGCTGTATGAGTCCAATGGTGTGATAATTGGAAGCTGTCAAGAGGTGATCTTCTCCGTGTACTTTTAACCTGATTTCAAGAGCTTTTTGATACGATTCTAATGCTGACTTGTAATCTTTCATCGCATGTTGTGTGATTCCAATGTTGTAATAACTGTCAGCTGTGTCAGGATGATCTTCTCCGTATAATTTTAACCTGGTTTCAAGTGCTTTTTGATAAGACTCTATTGCTAACTTGTAATCTTTCATCTTGTGTTGTGTGATCCCTATATTGTAATAACTGTCAGTTGTGTAAGGATGATCTTCTCCATATAATCTTAATCTGATTTCAAGAGCTTTCTTATTCGAACGTAATCCTGATTTGTAATCTTTCATCTCATGTTGCGTGATTCCAATGCTGTAATAACTGTCAGCTGTGTCAGGATGATCTTCTCCATGTAATCTTAACCTGATTTCAAGAGCTCTTTTATTCGAATGTAATGCTGATTTGTAATCCTTCATCTCATGTTGCGTGATTCCAATGCTGTAATAACTGTCGGCTGTTTCAGGATGATCTTCTCCATATAAACTTAACCTGATTTCAAGAGCCTTTTGCTTGGATTCCAAAGCTGACTCGTAATCTGTCATTTCATGTTGCATAATTCCAATATGGTACCAAGTGTAAGCTGTTGCAGGATGATTTTCTGCATATAGTCTTAATCTGCGTTCAAGAGCGTTACGATACGACTCTAATGCTGATTTGTAGTCTTCGTCCTTGTCTTGGTAATTAGGTCGTAGTGACGTTCAGTCTGATCAGCATTATCTATTTTTCCCTAAAAAAATTACGGTGTATATCTCATTATCATAAGCTTGTAGATTAGTACACCAAATGAATAAATCAGAAATTTGGCAGTACAATCGATACAGTGACATCAGTATCGACAGTGACAGTGACATATGACAGTGACAATGTCAATTGTGAAGAAGTAATTTTTACAGGCAATTGTAAAGAAGATCGTCCTTAGTGAAACAAAATAATGTTTAACTAGAAATACATGCATGCAGCAACCCCTCGCCATTTCAAACGAAGCAAATTTTTTCCTCAGCTAGCCAGATCTCAATATAATAGCTGACGTTTCACATTTTTCGTCATCATCTCAATATATTAGCTGATGTTTCACATTTTTCGTCATCACCGTTTATCTGCTGCAGGCGTTGCATATTGACTTAGTTAATACTTCAGTATAGCTAAACGTTCAAAACAGCAAAAATAATTTAAATTCCCACTCGTTTAAATTTCGCGCGTGCACAAAAGTGCCATGACCATTGAACGTCCATGGTCCATAGCATAGAATTTGGACAACTTTGCATTCCGCTATGTTCTGTCACAATTTCCGGGTGTAATTCCTAATCACCCCCCCCCCCCCAATTAAGCTTTTAGCTACGGCTTGTGAATAGAAAATAAGTAGAATACGTTGGTGTGAAAATGTCTTTGCAAAAAATTAAGTCGAAATATCAACGCCAAATGTTGTCTTTTTCTTATATACTTCATATCTTGAGTTGTCTTCAAGATGTCTTCTCTTACATAAGATGTAGCAATTTGGAATTTTTGTTTATCATTTTTCTTGGAAGTTATTTACAAATATGTATTTACCGGAACATTTTTTAATTCCTCACTCGCCACTGCATTAACGTCGATATTCCTCATCATCTTGTGAAGATCTTCGCCTTTATAAGATCTGGTTTGAAGGAAAAAGTTGTTTCTTTTATGTAAAAGTGCTTGATGCATCTCTACAACAAGCTATAGCTAAGACTAATTTTAAAGCATCACACATTCAGAAGAAAAGATTAATTTTAATTACTTAAAATCGGAATGTCTCGCCACGCACCCTGAGGAATTCCCTGGAGACGAGGTTGTGCTGATTACGATCATAAACCTTAATCAATGAAAATATTCGCCTATTTTTGAGACCAGTTATCGCCATATTTTAAAGAATGCTTTTTGTTGAGGTTTGAACGGTGATATTGCCAGGCTGCTGAAGGTAACAAGGAAGAATTCCGTTTAATCTAATCGCCATTACGCCATATTTCTTTACATTATTTAGGCAAAGCCAAACAGAATTCCTAAATTTTAATACTTAATGTAAAATGGTAAATAATGTACCGTTTTACCGGAAGTAGTAAAAATTTATGCATTCTGAATGGTAAAAAATGAAATGTTACTGAAATGGTAAACAAACTTGCTGGTTGTTCTAAAACGAAATCCCCCATTGTTGCTGAAGGTGACTTACTGGTAACAACTTAATACATTTCTGAAGTCTTGGGAATTGAATTGTTTATTATATTCATTTTGAAATCAATGATGTTTCTTGCAATCTGATGGGTTAAAAATAGTGTGATTAATTCCCAAATTGCACTATTTTTGAGCAATAATCACATCATTTATAAGCCAATAAGATTGAAGCCTGCACTACAATAACCAATCAGATTTACTATTTCAGTATAACTATCCAATCACATGGCAGGGGAAAATGGCACAAATACTTGCATTTTACACGGTTCTTTCAGCCAATAAATCGTTTTGAATTTGTTTAATTTTTGTATGATTTCAAAATGAATATAATAAAGGGGAAATTGCACCTCGCGCGTTTGATTTCACACCAGATTGCACTCCACTCAGTGCAATTACCATTATTAATTTATTTCCTAAGTATGCAAACACGCGAGCGTAAAATCAGTCCTAAATTCTGAAAAGAACCGGTTCGGATTTGCAAAACGAAAGATAATCATTCTAGACTTTAAAGCATTGTGTTTAGCTGCCGTTCACCGAATTTATTAAAAGCTTTATAGTTGGGGCAGCACAGTTCATATTTTGACCTAGTTTGATCTATCCTGCGAATGAAAAGCTAGAAATTTCAATGCTAGCTGTACCAGAGGACATCAAAGTACCTTCAAATTGCTGAAAGTTTTTGCTAATCTCGCGCGCCTCGTTCTTTAGGCTAAAAGTGTATATTTATATACCTCTTGTTGATAGCTTTCTTCGTTTCATTCACCTCCTCCATGTTTTCAATCTTCACCTTCAGTCCTTCCACTTTAATTCCAACCAGTAAAAGTTCATCCTGCAAGCGTTCCTTCATTTTTCCTGATTCGTAATCCGCCAAGACTTCCAGAAACCTTTCGTCTGTGAAACAATGTAACTCAACATGCAAACTTCCTGGTCGAATGTCGCGAGAGTCCTGATCATCGCGATCGCCACCAACACTTCTTGTGAACGCGCTGTCGATTAATTGCTTAACCAAATTATAACCAGCATACAGAGCGCCTAGACCTAATGCTACTTTACCGGCAGTTCTGCACACTTCTTTGGCAACTTCTACATTGTCAGTGCCGATAGCTATCACAAATTTTCCGCCAGTGAACGAAGCACTTGCTCGAAAAGCCTCTCCGAAAAACGCTTCCGCCATTTTACTCTAGGAATGGAACTGAAGCGGACAATGACGGCCAATTAGATTAATGCCATGTTTTTCCTAAAATGCAATTATATTTTCTAGTTTCGATGCGATGATGGCGTGATTCCATGTATACGATATATTGTTACTTGAAATAAAACGACTTCGCAATACTTTCCACAATTTTTAGCATATAGGATAAACTATTTGGATTAATTCCGCCACCGTCCTTATTTTTATCAGTTATCAACCTGGAACGAGAGTGATACCACGAGAAATTACCCGCAGGGATGAAAGCTTTGTAGGTGATTTAAAATGGAATCACCCGCCCTCGCGGGTAATTCACCTTTAAATTGCATGCCCCCGGCTAAAAAAACGGGTTTAATTTTCCAAACCTCATGATCACGTGGTAGTCACCCAGCTCTTTAATTGGTCAATCTTAATTTAAGGATTTTCTATCAAATAAGCACAGAAGTTACAGAGCAATGGACACAGATGTAATAAACCTATTGATGATAGCTCTTCAGTGAAGCCCATTAATGTCACTGCAAATCGTAAATCAGTAACAACAGGGGCGGGTGCCCATCTTTGCTATTTTTCAGACAAGAGTGTCACGCTAGCCGGAGTTAAATCCTGTATAGTATTAAATTATTACTATTATTATTTACGGCATAGTATTATTGTATAGTTCAGGCCTATACGACGACTTTATTAATGTCCGAATCTACAGTAAGACTTCATGTTCGAACTTCGAAACACATATTTTCAGCTGTACATCACCGCAAGTTTAGTTCTTTTAATTTTAACCGAAATTCCCTCGATGCTTTAAAATAAATGTTTTTTATTCAGTCATTTTAATTGCCCGAAAATTGCCTGTATTATTTATACAGAGTTTGGCTAAAATTTCTGTATTTAGCTACTATTGTTTAATTCTGATTCGTATTCCGTATTTTCAGTTAAAGAAATACAGTACTATAGTCTATATACATACCACACTTAAGTCAATATTGTCGAATATGATGCAGTCCAATCGCGGTGAACACGAAACCAATATATACTTTGAGTTTTAATGTGTTATATTTGTTGTATGCTATAATGTGCACTGTACACAAGTCAAATACATATGAACTCTAACTATATACTTAAAGGGCTTATATATACATGCCATGCCCAATTAACATATACATACATTAACATCTTTCTCCTCCAAAAAAAAATACTATAAGATTATTAACTAAATTATTATACGCCGTAAGAAAAATATTATAATAAAATAATAACAAACATAATGTACTATTTTCATTGTTCCTATTTCACCGGTCCAATTATAATAACAAATTATATCAGGTTCAACCTAATATATAGTCTTTATATTTACTAGGTTTATTACGAACTCTACCCGATCTTCGTAATGAATTTGTTCCTTCATTTATTCGTTCTTCTATTCCGGGCACCGCACCAGAGCTTTCACCACTCACACCTTCGACATTTTTTTCCACCAGAATATCTTCACCATCACTTTCCGGCAACGAAATGACCTCTATATCTTGATCGACTTGTTTTTCTAACTTCACCTTATGTATGTGTTTACGATTACGCCGCACTAATCCTAACGGCGTCTGCATAACACACGACCTTTCACCAGGTTTCTCAACTACTTTTCCATAGATCCATGGCTTGTTCTTCTCTCGCGGTTTCGCCCAAACATGATCCTTAATTTCCAACTCCTCAATTGGCTGTGATGCTTTCTTATCATATTGGATCTTTGACTGCCTTCTTCTCTTCCTAATATCTTCCTTAACCACGGAATCATCAACTGAACGTGGTCGTAACCGCGCCGATATTGCTGGAATAATATCCCTTAATCTTCGCGACATCAATCTTTCAGCAGGCGAATATGTATATCCTTGTTGTGGAGTATTGCGATATGCTAGCAACGCCAGATATGGATCTTCATGTCCAGACTTCTTCAAGATCTTTTTCGCCACTTTAACCGCCGATTCCGCTTTACCATTGCCTTGGCTGTAGTAAGGGGAGGATGTCACTGATAAGAATCCGTACTCTTTCGCGAATGATTTGTATTCAAAACTTACAAACTGTGGCCCATTATCACTAACGCACTCCTTCGGGATTCCATGTCTCGCAAAATTCTTTTTCATGGCTTTAATAACTGTATTGGCAGTAGTATTCTTCAAATAATCAAGCTCAATAAAGTCGCTATAATGATCAACCATCACCATGTAGTTCTTTCCATCTAACTGAAATAAGTCCACACTTATCTTAATCCACGGTAACTCAGGAACTTCATGTGACTTCATCGGCTCCCTCGGTTTCTCTCTCTGAAACTGGGCACAAACTCCACACGCATCACAACATTGACGAATATCAGCTGACATTCCTGGCCAAAATAGAACTTCTCGCGCTCGTCGGATGCTGCTATCAGCTCCTTGGTGAGCTTTATGAATCTTCTTCAACATTTCTTTTCTTAATGTCACAGGTATAATAACTTGATGCGATTTCAACAATACTTCTTTATAAACTGTAATTTCTTCTTTGAAAGACCAAAATGGTCGAAGACACGGTGATAACATTGACTTGTCCAACGGCCAACCGTTCTTTACCACTTCTACCAACTGCGTCAATGTTGAATCTTTCATCGTTTCTTCATGTACTCTTTTGAATGTATCATCTGACATCATAGACGGTTTTAAATCCATCTCCAAAAGTTCCATTCGAAATACGACTTCAGTCTCCAAATCTGAGGAACCAGTTCTTTCTAATGCTGCTCTTGATAAGGTGTCAGCTATATAAAGCTCTTTTCCTCTTTTATATACCACCTCAAAACAATATTGTTGAAGTTGTAGCATCATTCTTTGAAGCCTTCGAGGCGCATTTCCTAGAGGCTTCTTAAAAATCGTTTCTAAAGGTTGATGATCTGTCTGCACAACAATATCTTGTTTACCAAAGAGGTATTGGTGCCACTTTTTCATAGAAGTCACAATCGCTAAACACTCTTTTTCGATCTGAGCGTATTGCTTTTCTGTATTGTTTAATGTATGTGACGTGAAACAAACTGGCTTTCCTTCTTGTAGAAGCACTCCTCCAATAGCTTCGTCTGACGCATCCACTTGTAAGGTAACTGGCAACTTAACGTCATAATAGCGCAGACTTGTACTTGATGCAATGAGTCGTTTTGCTGCAACAAACGCATTCTCTTGAGCCCTTGTCCAATTAAATTCAACACTTTGTTTCACTAAATTTCGCAATGGTAACACCGTCTCACTTAAATTTGGACAAAATTTAGACAAATATTGACACATACCCAAAAATCTCTGCACACCAGCTTTATCCACAGGTCTTGGCATCTCACGAACTGCGCTGACTTTCTCAGAATCCGGTTTAATTCCTTGACTCGTTAGTTTGTGTCCCATAAAGGTAACCGAATCTGACTTAAATTGCATTTTTTTTTCTGACAGTCGAAGATCTTCATCTCTACATTTATTCAATAACGCGACCAGATTCCTATCATGATCTTCATTCGCTTCTTCTATTGTTTCACCACGTCCGAAAATGCAAATATCATCCGCGATATTAATCACGCCATTTAATCCTTCAAGGAATTCTTGTTGACGTCGCTGATACTCCTCAGGTCCCGATGAAATGCCAAAAGGCATTCGCTTATATCGATATCGTCCATTCGGGCCTTGAAATGCTGTAAGCAAAGATGAATCATAATCCAATTCAATATTGTGAAACGCTTCCGAAACGTCAACCACTGTAAAAACTTTAGCATTCGTTAGAAAAGGCAATTGCTCTTCAATGGTTGGTATCGGATAAACGGGTCGCCGTATGGCCTTATTTACAGTACGACTTGGGTCTATACATATTCGAATTCTCCCATCAGGCTTCTCGCGCACAAGCATATTTGATAACCATTCTGTTGGCTGCGTCACTGGAGCTATAGTGTCCTCCTCGCATAACCTCTTTAATTCTTCATTTACTCTTTCCAACTTCGCTACCGGTACTCTTCTCCGAGGGGCTTGTACAGGTTTTACATCTGAATCGATTTCAATATGCAATGGATCTCCAAGGGGTTTTCCTCTTCCAGGCTTGAATACTTCCTTATATTGTAAAAGAACTGATTCTCTAGTAAACTTTCCGATCAGCGGAAATTCTCCTGCAGTTTTTTCTTCACCACTAACATCAACAGCCTGAACCTCATCAGCATAAATCTTCAAATATCCTAACTTTTGGGCATCGCTCCTACTCAGTAACGCTGGTTTCCCTTTAGGCACATCGACAACAAGAAAATCCAGTAAATGAAATTTTCCCTTTACTTCACAACATAACGTGACCTGTCCCTTTGGTGCAATTTTCTGACTTCCATATGTGCATATTGTCGCCAATGTTTTCCTTAATTTGCATCCTGGAAAATTCCTCACCAACCAATCTACAGGAATCGTATTACAAGTGGACGCTGAGTCGATTTGAGCTTTAATGCTTCTGGTTTTGTCTCCTTTTAGCAACGCTAAATTCGCAAAGAATTTCTTTGCATTCGCATTACTTTTATTACTTTCCACGACAAATAGTTCTTCATCAGACTCGTCTTGAATTTGATTTGCTTTCTCTTGATGAACTCTCCCGGTACTGTTATTTCTACAAACTCTCGAAAAATGGCCCATTACGCCACATTTATTGCATTTTCTACGAAAAGCAGGGCAAAATTGTTGTCGCGGCTGTTTATGCTGATTACCACACCAAGAACATAATCTCGGCATTGTTTGCTGTGATATTACAAAATCGTCACGCCCACGGTCGCGGTTCGCTGACTGCTTTCTCTGGTTGCTTGAATAATTTACTTGCTCTTGTTGATTCCCCCTGGCATCTTTCATCAACTTATTCGTTATCGTTGTCGCTTCGTATGCTTTAGCTACCTCAACCACTTCTCGTAAAGAAACTTTCTGTCGTTCCCCATCTCTATGACGATGTCCTTTTCCGATTAATTTAACCCGAATTTGCTCGGACACCAAACCAGCTATAAATTGATCCCGCATAAGTTCGTCTTCAAAATTGTCATACTCGCATTGAGCTGCTTGATTTCTCACTCTCGATTCCCAATCTCCTATACTTTCGCCTTCTTGTTGAATCAATCGAAGAAACTTTTGTCGCTCACCAGAAACACCAATACTCGCTCCATAATAATCCTTTAACGCTTGAACAACACAATGCGGTTTCATCTGATCTGCTGCTGATAAGCCCAAACTATATTTCAAAACTGTTCTCGCCGACTTCGTTAAAGAAGCTCGTAAACAAGCCATTACTTTGTCAGGTTTAGTCCATTTTTCAGCATCTGTTTGTTTAGACGAATCGTACCAATTATTCATTACACTATAATCAATCAAATCCTCGATGTATACTTCTATATCACATTTGTCATCACCAGTAGCCTTTAGCATAGGAAACGGTAGGTTAACCGAAGACATAACTAATAAACTAAAATCCCACCGCTGCCACCATGTTATATTTGTTGTATGCTATAATGTGCACTGTACACAAGTCAAATACATATGAACTCTAACTATATACTTAAAGGGCTTATATATACATGCCATGCCCAATTAACATATACATACATTAACAAATGCATGGCTAAACAGGAACTGCTAAAAGAAAGAAATGTATTATCTTGAATCATAAAGCACTAAACCAGTCAATATTCAAATGATATAGCACCACGACATCACAAATGATATAGTATCAGAATAAGGCTTACCATGATGAAGAAATCCCAGTAACACCACAGGCAGCCCGGTCACTGCTGTTACTTCATGCTATTATATATGTATATAATTACAACAAGACGCCGGCTTAGGCGTACACTCGTGCTCTAGGGATTGTGTTCTAGGGATTTAATAGCATTACTTGAGGGACACAATCATGGCGTGTTGTGGGAACCTATAGCGTAAGTTAAGGCTTTGTGGTTACCCTGGGCCTGGGAGGACTTACACGACAAAAATGTATCACACAAGTATAAAATAATACATTTACATTATTATCACAATTCACAAATGCCGATTATAGGTAGCCCATAAACAATCCGCACGGCGTGACATATTACTGTGTCAATGCTTCTATTATATATTGACTGCAGACTGCAGTGTTTTAGTTCCGACGAAAGCTTTCAAAAATCTAGTTGTAATGGTATTGATTCGCATTGCTCGTAATGTCAGTCGACGGTTCAAACATTTAGGTATTAATAAGTGTGATTTATAAGCATTTGTAGGTCTAAAACAGCGAAAACATCGATCATATATCTTGCTTTCATATAGGAATTTAAAAATATACATCGCACCAAGGAATATGCATTAAATGTTGCACCGTAGTAATGTCTTCTATGCATATATATTTTGCATCCTTCGTATTGTTTGTAAAATGTGGTTTGTATTGTCGGATAATTATATCTCGTAATATACATCGCGCACCGTAGTAATGTCTTCTGTGCAATATATTTTGCCGTATTGTTTGTAAAAGTGGCTTGTATTGTCGAATAATTACATTTCGTCATACATTACTGGGTCAAGCGCGCAATGCATTCTGGGTCATCGAGGTCCAAAACGCGACCGACACACGACGAAACCTAGACTCGTGCCCTCCTAGAGCACGAGTAATAAGGCTGGCAACTCCCTCGCAAAAAATATAATACATACATTAATACCATCGCTTAAAACAAAATACTACGCTAGTTTCTTAAAAAAAAAACAGATACAACACCTAGGATATATTGACTATATTTATCTGTCGTTTTTAGACTTGAAAAAAACTCTAAAATGCTGAAATTTTGCGAATTAAAAGTGTATTTTCGTTGAAATTTTGCGAAACAGAGGCGGGATGCAATTTACTCGACAAACGTCATCATCGGAGAATTCGTCGGCAAACTTCTGATTGGCTGTGGCAAGTTCGGAAAATTACGAAGATCTTTTTTCTTGATTGAGTTGACCTTCGTATATAGTCAATATATCCAAGGTGTTTTGTATCTGTTTTTTTTTTAAGAAACTAGCGTAGTATTTTTGTTTTAAGCGATGGTAAATTGTGTATTATATTTTTTGCGAGGGAGTTGCCAGCCTTATTGTAATTCTATACATATATAATAGCATGACGTAACAGCAGTGACCGGGCTGCCTGTGGTAACACACACTATATATGTACTACGCAGCTTGCCTGCATGAGTGGAGTTGCATTGTGAGTTATGCATAAAATTGATTATGCCAAACACTAATACACTTGTGGGTCCCAACACTCAAGTACTTAGGCACTCAAACTCTAACTATTACATTGTTATAGGTGATTTCAATAGTTTTGTATAATAATTATCCCTGTATAATTATCGTTGATCGGAATTTGATCTAAAAAATTTCTATTATAATTATCTTATTATGCATGCGCGTGCATGCCATCAGCTTGACTAAAATGTTTGGCTCTGGCGATAATTTGAAAAATAAACGTTGTTTGCTACGTTCATATTATTAGCAAAATTATAGAGAACATTACAGTAAACATATAAAGCTCATCGCACACGTTTATCGTACGTTGCTGTAACGCTAATTGTCCGCCATTATTGAACATTGTTTGTTAGCGGGAACAAAAGACAATTGTGTTAAATACAGGGTGAGTAAAAAAACCTGACACCTTTGAAATTCAAATTAGCCGCGAACTTATGACTGGAATTTGACAATTCCCATGACAGAACCATGTGTACAATTAACAGGACGTGGTTAATTAATGCGAAAGTGTTTAAACCAATTAAACTAATTCAACCTGGCGCGTGTGCTAAAAAATATTTTTTATTTACAGAGCTTAGAATGCTTTTTAATTAACTTCCAAAGGGAACAAACTTTATGTTTTAGTTGAATTATTTGATATTCGTCGTATACCCATGAGGTATTTTAGGCAACTTCTGTCACATTACAGCCTAATTTGAATTTCAAAGGTGTCAGGTTTTTTTACTCACGCTGTATACTATACATTATTATTCTAAATAAACCATATAATCTAACAAAAACAATATAGGAATTCTACTGAGAGCTATTTGGCATAAAATCGACGAACTGAAAAACACCCGTGCGTTCACATGGTCACGGTTTAGAGCTAAGCCTAGGTCGAAACATAAACATTTGTATGGCTCGTTTGTGAATTTTAAAGGGGAAGTCATTGCTCAGGACAACTTAGGCTCAGATGAAAGATGATATCATTCTTACTTTACATACGAAGTTTTAAATCGCAAGGTTAAATAGAATTCAAGATATAAAGCAATAAAAACGCAACTTTTGCCATATTTGCCGCAGAAATTAAATACATGCGAGCGAACCTGCGATCTAGCAGCGGATTTACTCCGTGACGTCACTGCGCGGTTGAAAACATAACTAAGAGTCCACGCCAAGTTGCTTCTATTGAAAAAGCTTTACAAAAGAACAAATGGATATTTCAAACGGATCTTCAAGCGAAAACTCATTAAGTTCTGGTTCAGAAGACAGCAGGGACGAGTTCCAAGTTGAAGACCATGAAGGAATAATTCAACCGTACGCATTTGAGCCCGTTGAAGAAACAGATTCGGAGTCAGACAACATGGCTATTGATGATGAATCATCACAATCGGGATCTGGAAATGTAACAAGCAGACTCGCGGATATAGACAAAGACTGGTAATTTTACTCTATATTTTAAAAAACCGTAGGAATCGTAGTGGTGAATTATAATTATTAGTTGATAATTTACAATATGTCGGCGTTTTTAGTATATACTATAAATACAATCATGAACCGTCATTTTGTCTCCTCCAATATAATACTGTTTGTCGTATATTTAGAACGTTTAAATACACCCAAATTACCATAAAATAATGAAACCGCTCTAAAAATTTATTGTGGCTTTCAGGTGTCTTTGTAGTAACTGCCAGATTATGGACAGAGAAGAGGAATGTGTATGCTGCCAAGAGGTCTCAGCATGTGTTGGAAAAAATGAAGAAGTGGCACAGTTTGAAAATATACCCATTCCAGCTTGTATGCCTCAATTACTGGGTGCTACAGACTGCCTGGAATCAGTACAAACAACAATACGGCACAAGTGCCTATGAGGGACCAGAACACAAAAAACATAGACATGTTGCCTACAGGCAGCTTGTTCGGTGGTGTTTTGGGATAATAGGTAAAGAAATAAGGGTTCCTCTTCCTTCTTGTGCAGTAAGCTGCATTAGAGCACATTTCCCACCACCAGGGTTGGAAGATGATATGGTATTTGAAGGTTTTAAACATGCAGGTGAATAATATGGTAAGTTGTTGAGTCTTTATTCAGCTAGCTTTTTATTCAGATTGTGCCATAATCATAACCAGCAGGCTGCGAATAGAGCTTATGGTAGGTATCTACCTCAACTGTTTATGGTAGTTATCTGCTTCAAGTTTTCCCCATACGTGATCTATGTGCTGCAATCACATCATCTTTTTCAGGCCTTGGAGTTGGTGCAATGTTCTTTGGAATGATGCTAGGTGTTTTTTCCGTCAGGTCTTGCTGAAATAACATCACATCATCCATCAAATGCTGAATGAAATTAAATGCCTTATTTTCCAACACTGGTTTTGCGACCCAATTCTTGCGACCTTTAGGAAATGTGATCTTATATTTCTTCTCACCCTTGTTTTTCCTTGTTTAACAGTTGCATGGTTTCTTCCAGTGTTGGAGTTATGGTCAATTACCGCCAACTGCGTTCTAGCTACCATTCCCGGATATGAAAAGTGGGTGCGTTTTGGAACATACTTCAGCAGCAAGGAGTGGTATACTTCCAGGTTACCTGTATGGTGAAACTCAGTAAGTTTGGCAATATCCTTTAATAGTTTTTTGTTTAATACCACCTCTTCCAGGGCTATGTGTGGGGCAGATCCAGCCTGCAACCATTTGGTTTTACGTTCCTTGTTTCTAGATAAGCGCCCGTGTACACATTTACGAAAGTGCTTGCAATTTCTCCATCTGTGCTTATTTACAACATGGTACAAGATTGACACCCATTTCTCATGAAGCACTTCAGCATCACCAGCACAAGTCTGTGCACACCACCACAGATGATTGGACACTGACTGAATCCATTTCAGTAAGATCTCATTCCCCTTCTTTTTTGCTTTTTTTGTCAATTTTTTGTCACCCATTTTGAAAGATGCCAAACATCATATTGGTGAACTATTTGCGGGTATTTTTTCTCATCTCTGCTGTAATCTGTGTGTGCCGATCTGTTGTCAAAGATCTGATTTTAATGCCTTGACCAGTTATTTTGTTTATGGAGCTTTGACACCCTTCATTCTCCATTGCATTAGAGGATGAAACTTCAGAGACTTGAACAAGTGAGAAATCAACAATTTTCCCTGAAGTTTCATCCATCAATGTGTATGTGCCATACTTAGCACTATGACCTGGACTGTCCGATCGACCGTCGCCACATAAATCAATTGGATTATTCTCCTTCTTTATACTTTCCACAATTTCTTTCTGTTGCCTCTTATAACTTTTTTCGATTACTGGAAAAACAATTTCCTTTTGTACATTATAGAACTGTTGTTTGTTGACAAAATTGAGATTGAGGGCACTAGCAAACTGTTTGGTCGATTCATAGGAACCACCAGTGATTACAGTTGCAGCAGGGATCAAAATGTCTCCAGCTGGCTTGTTGTGCAACTCTGGTTGTGAATTCCACTGGTAAGTATGGTTGTTGAAACATGTTGCTTTAACTGTCACCATGCTACCTTTATTAGATTTTTCAATCTCACATAAGGAGCCACATTTTCTACATGAAATAAACAATTGATCTAGCATGCTCTCAAACACAATAAATTTTCTTTCATTTTTTTGGTCTTCAGCTTCAGAGTCATCACTGGTGTTCAGTTTTGGACAGACATAGTCATCATCACTATCTGAAAACTCATCTGTGCTGCTTGAACTGTATTCCGCATCTTGTTCTGATTCAGTAGAAGCGGTTGCTTCAAGAATGGTAATAGGTGTTGTAGGTGGAGTGACAATGCCACTGTTGTTTTTTGCCTGGGCAGGTGTCATGGGTGTGGATTTCTTCTTCCGTATGGCAAGAGTTTGTACCTGAATGGACCTCTGTAATGGCTTCTCACACTGAGTTTCTGCATCAAGCAATATAATATGATCACAATATGTTTCTGCATCTCGAGTTGAAAATCCACCAGTGTCATGTTCAGTGCTTGTGTCAGTGAACTCATCATTTTCTTCAGTGTTTAACAAGGTTGCTACTTCCTGTAAAACCAACTAATTTATAAATTAGGGTGAAAGACTAACTAACCCAGTATTTACTTTATAGGATACTTTGCCTACAATTTTGGGAATTTTTACTAATATTTATTGGGATTAAAAAAATATTGGGATTAGCATATAAAGAGCTAAGGCCTTGTAATAATGTAGTTAGTACGTACCTCGACTCTTCTAATTTTCTCTCTGATTATTTCCCTTTTTTGTTCCCGTCCTGGTTTTCGATGTACAAATGGAAATATCGATGGTACACTTCCAGCTTTCAGTGCTTTTTTTGTTTTCATGCCAAATAACTCTTTAAAGGACATTGGCAACGAAAATTTTTATTGCCCATTTCTATTATATGTACCTATGGAATACTTAATTCCCCATTTTCGCCTTACCATCAGGTTTTGATTTCGCTAAAATTTGAAATAAAGTTGAATTATTGTCCGCCATTTTGAAAAAAGATGTTCATGCTAATTTATGTCGGAATACATTACTGACGTCATTGGCTGGGTTCGGCCAAATAGATATCAGTTGAATACAACATTCCGTAATGATAACAAAGGGTAAAAGCAGTATAGGGAAGCGTAAATAACGGAAAATGTGTAACAATTAGGTAGCGATGTTCTCTGCAATAGTTTGCTCCAAATCTTAGTATATACGTTATAATAAGCGCGTATATTAAACGTGTATAGTTAAATGCGCTTACGCTTCAGATGCCGACTGCAATAATATATCTAATTTAGCAAGTGTTTATGTGCAACACTTTCGACTCTGTGGCCTTTTAAACGCGCTAACGCTTCCGATGCCGACGAAGTAATCTTCGGAAATATTTTAACGCAAACAAATCAAATTTGGAAAGTCTTCATGTGCAACACTTTCGCCGCTGTGCCGCAATTGTGAATTGTTTTGATCGGAAGCCGGGAAGCAAAGCTTGTGAAATAATATACAAGTCGGCATGACAAAATGACAGCACATTAGATCATATGTTGGTATTATGTTGACATGTGTTTGCATTCATGGTTTATCCGGATGCAGGTGCTGCTGCCGAAATAGCTGTGAAGCGCTTGTAAAAAGAGCGTATCCTTTCTCATTTTCGCATTCAGTCCGAAATGCGAAGGTGAAAACATGTATTGCCCGGTTTACGGTTGTAATAGCGACTTCAAAAAAAAACGAGTGCTATCAATTTCTTTCGGTTTCCAAGTGGAAAATCGGCAGCTCAGCAGAAGAGAAGAAAAATTTGGATAGATTTTTGCAAGAGGAAAGGTTTCGAGCCATTGGCGAACAGTAGAATTTGTTCTCTTCATTTCGCTGAAGACGCCTACCAACCTGGACATTCGCCACAATTTTTGAAGCAAATAGAGTGTCAGGAGTCGTTTCGCGTTCAGTTGAAAAGCGATGCTGTGCCAACCTTGAATAAACCTTTGCCTGAAACAGGTTCAAGTAAAACAAGGATTTTTACAGAAAAAAGACAGCGTAAAAAGGTAATATAGAAATATGACGAGAACGTTTCGTTAGGAAGTGTAGAGATTATAGTTGAGAGCCGTAGAGGCTTACATATGCGGTAAAATAGAGTTATTCACACATATAGCATGGTAGGCATTACTGAATTTTACGCCAATAACACAAACATTTGTAATCATTTATAGAAACTCGAAGACCTTCTAGAAGCAAGTAAATCTCCAAAAACGATTCATCTTCAAGTGAAAATGAATCCGAAGCCGAAGGGCCACAAAGTTTCTCTAATTTGGAGACGTTAGACGAAATACCCAACATTCAAAGCACAGAGGAAGACCGAGTGGAGAAACAGATGAAGATTTTAAACACAAGAGAAAGGTCAACACAAACAAGGAAAAAACAAGGGACCAGGTCGATCAGAACACAAACGACATCCACTTCGTTTTTGACCTCTTTGGAAGCGCAAACGGTTGTGAGCGACAGTGATAACATGCCTTCACGTGATTTTGAAACAGAAACACCAGATTTCGTGCAATCTACGATTACAGACGTTGACGTTGAGAGCATGAAGAGCAGCAGTTCAAGCGCAGAGCCCATAACAGTTGGCTTACATAGTGACTTTGACATTCCAGAGGAATCGTCGTCCACTCTCAGTGACGACAGCAGCGGAGAAGATACCGATTCTGACGAACGAAGAGTTCTAGAGCATGGCAAGTCCCCACAAGACCAGATCAAATTTATTGTCTTCGAAGAAGCGATTCTAGATGTCTTTGGTCAATGCGGTCAGTGTGGTGCAAAATGTGTTGTGACCATTGCAAGTCAAATTGGTTCCTCGTGTTGCATTGGTGTCACATGTACGGTCCAGCCTGAGCATAATTTTCAGTGGACGACTGGTCCCTCGTTATCCAAAATGCCAGTATTTCATCTGCTACTAGCATCTGGCATTCTCGCAACCGGAATGGAATCCTCAAAAGTTCTTCGTCTATTTCGTTCGCTGAACATTCCTAACCTGAAGCAACGGGAGCTGTCGAATATCTTAAAGAATTATGTCATTCCCTCAGTTTATGAAGTGTGGAAAGGGGAACAATCCGCTAGGTTACGGGATATAGGAGATGAACGAATTGTCATTGCATCGGATATGCGCGTTGATAGTCCTGGTCACAGTGGGCTTTTTGGATCAGGCAGTACGCTGGACATGGGACGGAATATCATATTAGATACCCAAGTAATCAAAGTAAGTTTGAAACCTGAATATGGGAAATTTAATATAAAATTCCCAGTAAAATAAAATTGGATAAGAAATGTGCTTTTTGGATATCTAAGTTCTTTACATATTCTTGTTTTTTAAGTCCACTGAAGTGAAGAATTCCAACGCTATGGAACTGGAATCCCTTAAGAGACAGTTGAAATACTTGGAGGACAATGGCACTAAAGTTGACAAGTTGTTACAGATAGGCATATCCAAGTGTCCGCATACATGGCAAATGAGAAGCCACAGGTGGAGCATGCCTATGATGTATGGCATGTAGCAAAGGGTACAGTAAAACATTATAACTAATAAATCTGAAAATATTCGCTTTATATGCCAATTATACCCTTTTTGGTGACCTGCAATACCAATATAATAAACATGAAATTAAAATCAGGAATTTCTAATTTTCAAGGAGAAAAAAAGAAGCTAACAAAAGTCGCCAAGAAAAAGAAATTCAGGAAAATTCAGCCATGGATTGGGGTATCTATATAAATATAATTCTGTATCAGTTTACATAGCAAAAAACAATTGTCATTGGTTATCTTAGTTATTAATATTTTTTCATTTACTTGACAGTCAATCATTAATCATATTTATTGGGTTGGTGACTCCAGTGAGACTGAGGATGAAAGAGAGGAAAAATGGCGCAGTATTCTAAACCATATAATCAATGTTCATGAACATGCTGGCCATAAAGTGTTTGTAAAATGTCTCCATGGCACAATTGAAAGAGACTGGATTAAAAAAGGTTATATAAAAATAGCAACACTATGGATGAATAATATAATATATATATATATATATATATATATATATAATATATATATAATATATAATTATTGTAATGTGTGTATACATGATTACAGGATCAGCTGCTCACAAAAAATTGGAAGAGATGTTAACAAGGCCACGGCTCATTTCTGCAATCCGCAAGTTATCGAAATATCATCAGACATCTGGTTTGGAGGCCAAACATGCTTTAGACAACTTACTGGCCTCAAAGAACACTTATCATTCCTATCATTCATTGAGTGCAAGGTAAAATTTTTAAGTTTGAAAAATGTTTGAAAATTGTTTGAAAATTGTGACATGCAAAAGGCTTTATTATCTTATGTGTATTTCAAACCAGATTGTACTGTTCAAACTTGCACTACAATGAAAACAGCAACAGAAAGCAGGCAACAACTGCTGATGGAAAGCTGAGATGGGCCATATCTTATCCAAAGGCTTTTAAAGGAGAGAAAGCTGTGGCAAAACCTTTAAAAGAAAAACCGACCTATGGTATGAATTTCATCTTCCTGTTAAAAGGCCATATATACAGCACACTTTTAAGCAGGGGAAAAAATCAGATATTTATTATATACCATGTTGATAAGTTCACAAACTTTAAATCTAATTTTATAGAGTATGTACATTTGATATTAAGTCAAGTTATAAAACTCCGAAAGCAGTACCCTACATTGAAGAAGGCCAAAGAACATGCAAGCAATGTACTACCTCCAGAGCCACAATCACTTGTTCAACAGTACTTGGCAGGAAAGGAGAGACCCTCAAAAGAACAAGTCGTAGCTAACAAGAAGTCACGATTCAGTAAGCCAGCTTTACCTACAAGTGTAAAAAGAAAAGCTGGTGTCAACCCTTGTGCATGTAAAGGTAAATGCGCAACACGAAAATGTGACTGCAGGGCAGTGGGAACAATCTGTGATAATGAATGCAAGTGCCAAGAGGCCAAATGTATCAATCGTGAATGAGGTATTCCTTTCACGCACAAATATATATATATATATATGCTCTTAATTGTACATACTTCAAGAATTAGAACCATAAAGTAAAATATTACCGTTTTGATTTTCTTGCGTATTTAAAGTGAGTGTATAAACCGTCAGGCGACTCGAAGCGTTCTCGTATCTTTGCATATACACAAGCTGGGAAGGGTCTTCGCTTTTTCTTCCCCAAGATCTGGAAAATCCACCGAGAGCACCTCTGATACGCTACTAGTCGATAGAGTTTGTGTACTCTTTCTAGATCCTCATCATCAAGAGGCCAGTTTTCCTCAAGGTAACGGCACACATCGACTTTTAGCACTCCTTCTGAAAGCATGTTTTCATTGAATTCTCGATGTGTTGTAACACAATGCTTGTCTTGTGTTTCTGTTTGGTTAAGGAGAACGTCGTATTCGTCGTATTCTAATGCTTTCTCGTGGCAACAAAAACACTCAATAGTCTTGTTCGATATAGTGCAAAGTCCGCATTTACACCAACTAAGAGTTTGAAGGCGCCAAGCATTTACCCTTTCAAACTCGTGATCGACTTCTTCGTCAGACGAAGACAATTCACTGTCTTGTTCGGAACCGCTTTCAGCGCTTAAATGGCCTGTTTCTGCCCCAACTTCTGGTTCATACTGGTACGGCAACACTTCTTCTACTTGATTTTTGTGTATATCTTCCATCATAACAATAAAAAGCTACAAACCTTTTCGAAGCTAGCGAGCGAGTCAAATTTTTAAACAAAAATACACTGTTGTTTTGATTCAACCCAGCCAATGACGTCACTTCCGGCAAAATAACCCGAAGATAATTTTTCAAAATTTTATCCAAGATGGCGGGCAAAGTATCAAATTTGAATGCAAATAACTGGTCGATAAAAGAGTTTGATAAAGAATTATTGTTTTTTTTATTGTTAGATACCCCAAACGTTTTAAAATAGCCAATAAAAATTTTCGTTGCCAATGTCCTTTAAGAGAGCTTTCGAAACATTCAGGGGCGAAATGCGCGCTACAAACATAGCATGAGTTTGCTTTCGGTAGGTTGTCGCGTCGAATCCGCCTGAGCCATATTTTGCGCAACTGTGGCTCATTTGGCAAACGATGGTACGATACCTCGCTCCCTTTCGTCTTCTTCGAGCAGTTCGTGCAACCCGGAACCATACAATATGGCATTTTTTGAAATTTTAGAAATCGCTTGTAAAATGTTGCTGTATTTTATAGCTTTGTTTATATTTGAATATGAAGCGCTCCCGCGAAACCGCGCAGTGACGTCACGGAGTAAATCCGCTGCCAGATCGCAGGTTCGCTCGCATGTATTTAATTTCTGCGGCAAATATGGCAAAAGTTGCGTTTTTATTGCTTTATATCTTGAATTTTATTTAACCTTGCGATTTAAAACTTCGTATGTATAGTAAGAATGATATTATCTTTCATCTGAGCCTAAGTTGTCCTGAGCAATGACTTCCCCTTTAAGCTTTGAAATGTATTATGTATACTGGCTTGACACAATTGTAGCTTCAAAGAGAATGTAATCAGTAATCGAGCTCTGTCCCGATCTATATATCAAAATATTTCTATATTTACACTATACCATTACAAAGAGCTGCAGTTTCATGCAATCCAAATGGCATGGATATTACGCAAATACTGTAATTTTATCGTTGTTTTGAGATTCCATCATATTTATGACCTCTCAAATACAGTATGACTATTTCGAAATACATTTGAACTCCAATAAGGAATATTATATAAATGAAAGTACTCTCAAAATTGATGCAAAAAACTAAAATATCCGACCAAAATGCTATATACTGTTCACGCAAATTTATACAATAAAATGGTACCTCAAGTGTCGATCATATTGCATTTGAGCGTCGATTAGAAATGATTTTCTCTGGCTTGGGGAGCGTAATAATATTGTTTATTCTCGACGACTGTCTACAACATCAAGTCTTAAATTACATATCACGTGTTTATTCTCGTGACTAAATGCACTGGTTATTTTGACGTACACATGTAAAAATCTCGCATCTTGTCTAAAATCTCGCGGCAGAGTGAACAAGCTTGTAGCTAGCCTGCTGCGGATTTGTAGCAACTTGTCAACAAAGCAGTTCGAACACAACTTGATATCAGCTTGTTAGAATAATCCGTTGTAGAATCCGTTGTTGCTATAGACGCTACTCTGCTACGTTTGTCACAACTTGTGTCTTTTGTGTGTATATATATATATATATATATATATATATATATATATATATATATATATATATATATATATATATACTGTGTAGATTAACTGGTTTACTATAATACAAATAGACTTTTATTTTAGTTTTATATAATGACGTGCAACAAGAAGAACTAGTTGAAATACTTGCTTAGATTTTGATATGTTATAGTTATATTTTGAAAGAAAATCTAGGGATATTACCTACTTTTTAAAATCGGTAACCATTTCGGAATGTCTCTAAAATATGCAAAATACGAGATATGCAAAATATGAATTAATTAAACTTTGCTCGACTAAAGCTGAACGCACATGTCACCCCGTGTCGGGACGATATTCTTCTACAAACAATTTCACTTTGACTTGAAGATATTTGTTGTGTGACTCAATGCATATTTGTAGTCCCCCATCTCACATTGTGTGGCTCCAATGTTTCCGTAAAATATTGTTAGCTATATCCGCAAAAGTCGAAATGAAGAAAGGACTCAACGGAGAAATTCTCGATCTTTTTTTACGAGTATTAATATAATCATATATAGCTATACATACTTTTCTGCTGTTGCATTATAAATCTTTGCACTTCTAATCAGTCTCTTTATAATTTCAATCCACAAATAAACCTGCATTAGACAGACTTTTTACAGACTTCCATTACAGATTTTTGGCCCGCAAAAAGTGTTTACTTCTAGTATAATACCTGAGATTGCTATCTGTAAGTCATCCTCTTTCCTCAAGCGGGGAGGGGGGCAGGTGGCGAGCTAGCTAGGATTCAGGGAGGTCATGTGATCCTGAACTTTGGTGACCCCTTCCATGCGGAGTTTTTGGTCTTTTTTAAATATGACTAACGCCAAAACTTGTTCGAAATAATCCAGTACTGGTTTCATATTTGGTCAATTTATTTGAATTTGACGCTGTTTTCTCAGTATATAACGACGTAATTTTACTAACTTTTTTCATGGTGAATTTTTTGGAGATCTCCCTCTAGTGACGTAACGTGACTACCTTCACTCGGGAGTGCAACCTCTAAGTTTTACCGGCGAACCCGGGGAATTCTAAGCGCGTCTAAAGAAAGCATATAATTATAGCTTTTTGGTTGGTCGGTTGGTGCAAGTTTCAAGTTAGTTATCAGAGATTAAAAGTTATTATCATTAGTTAGTATAGATTAAAATAAATTGCTTAAGTAGCTATATATAGTATATATAAATATTATTCACTGACTTAAACTGTAGCATGTTTCGATATCATTATAGTAAAGTCAATATTACTGGCACATAATTATTGATTGGACATGCAAAAGCTTGAGAGTCTGTTTGACGATATATCAGCAAACGAGTGAGACGATTTGTCAAATTACGGCAAGCAACTAAGCAAGTTGAGAAAAATTATACTTTTTACCAACGCTTGTGTGCTATTACCGACCGACGTCGCGTTTAACTCACCACGTTGCCAAAACTAGGGGGTGTAGCACCCCGCCACACCCCTCAGACAATAGTATTCGTCCTGCTTTTCCAAGCCAAAGTTTTAACCATTGATCACGTCGAATAACATACATATAAGGTTGGTAAAAATAAACTAAAGATGCAGATTTGCTAAATTACAACCGCTGGCAAAATATTACCTGGAGGAACTTTGGTATTCCTTGATTTACAAAAAACAAACTGGGCAAATTGTAAAATATCAATGAATTTTTCAAATTTAAAAATGCGCAATGTAATTTATAATACTTCAATTGAACATTGAACATTGAAATTGAAGATATTTGAACAAATTGTTTACGGCAATCTGCATATTCCAAGTCCGTGCCTTTCTGGCCATTGTTCGATCAGTGTATCCATGATCGGAATAACTTTAACCTGCTTCAAGATTCCCCCGGTATAGTTTATTTGTTCTCGAGATCTTATTACTGTCTATATTAAAATCCCGGGGGGGATTTTAGTATCTTAAAACTGATTTTAGCAACTGTTCTCGTTTGAATTTGATGTCATTTGCGAACTCACGCTGTATCGCACTAATTGTGTAATAAATTTGAACTGTGTCAGGGTGATCTTCTCCATATAGTGTCGATCTGATTTCAAGAGCTCTTCGATTCGAATATAATGCTGACTTGTAATGTTTCATTTCGTGCTGTGTGACTCCAATATTGTAATAACTGTCAGCTGTTGCAGCATGATCTTTTCCGTAAATTTTTAATCTGATTTCAAGCGCTTTTTGATATGACTCTAATGCTGATTTGTACTCTTTTATCTCATGTTGTGTGACTCCAATGCTATAGTAACTGTCCGCTGTCTCAGGATAATCTTCCCCACGTAGTCCTAATCGAATTTCAAGAGCTTTTCGTTTGACTCAATGCTGACATATAATCTTTCATATCATGTTGTGCGTATCCAATGTTGTAATAACTGTCGGCTGTTGCAAGGTCATCATCTCCATACACTTTCAATCTTATTTCAAGAGCTTTTTTATGGGATTCTAACGCTGATTTGTAATCTTTCATCTCATGCTGCGCGATTCCAATGCAGTAGTAACTATCAGCTGTCGAGGGATGGCCTTCCCCATGTAATCTTAATCTGATATTTAGAGCTTTTCTATTTGATTCTATTGATGCCTGGTAGTCATGCATCGCATGTTGTGTGATTCCGATGCTGTAATATGTGTCGGCTGTGTCACAATGATCTTTGCCATATAGTTTTAAACTAATTTCAAGAGCTCTTTGATAATACTCTAATGCAGACTTGTAATCCCCCCTGTCCTGTTCCACGGCTCCAATGCTGTAATAACTGTCAGCTGTTGCAGGGTCATTTTCTCCGTATACCTTTAATCTGATTTTGAGAGCTTTCATATGCGATTCTAATGCTGACTGATAATCTTTCATGTGATATTGAATGTAACCAATGTTGAAGTACCTTTGAGCTATTTCAGGATGATCTTCAAGGTCGTAGTGACATTCAGTCGTACACGTGTCGGTATCATCTGTTTTTCTCTAAGAATTTGTAAGACGTATAGATATAATACAATTCTTTGAATTGCGCTGTAGGTATGAGATTTCGAGTTGCTAATTGTACGATCCCAATGCAACAGATTCAAAATAAATATTTACCTGATTACTTTTTATTTCATCACTTGCATCACCATCAACATCCATATGTTTTACCATCTCGCCAAGATCCTTGTTGATATGAGATCTGTGTTGCGCGAAAAAAAACGTGAGAATGTTATATTCTATCATTCAAAAAAAATATTGTTCAGAGAATTAATGCTGAATTTGTGTTCCTAAAGCCGCGTTTACACTTCAGGCCTGGAGCTGGCCTGGACCAGGTCTAGGCCAAGTCTAGGTAATATGTGCCAAGGTCTTCCTTGTTGATGATATCGGATAGCCAAAGTAATTGACAAAATACTTGGAAAAGACCCAAAACACGCCGAAAAGTGGTTAAACTATGTGTGTCCTATACAAATTATACTATTAAGTCCAAAATTGTCAGGGTAAAGCCTGTTCGCATTACCAAACTCTTGCCACAGGTCAGGTCCAGGCCTGGTCTAGGCCGGATAAACAACGTTCACGTCTAGGCCTAGGCCTGGTCCAGGCCAGGTTTTGTACGTAATGTAAACGCGACTTAAGATATCAATGTTTGTTATACAATATGCAGCTAGCGTTTTATTGGCGAATCCGCGCGCGCCATTGTAAAGCGCAACTATTAATGAAAATAATACAGTTGGAATTATCGTGTTTGATCCACCAATTAGGAATCAGGTATACGCCCCTGGGGGATAAAAATTTTCAAAAAAGAGTTTTTTATTGTGTAATGAAAACAAAAATACATGGATGGTTAAAAATATGGACGTTAAGATTGACGTTGACGGCAAACACCACAGAACGCTAACCACAAACGTTCAACCTTACATCGCTTTGAAAGTAATTTCTACAGGTTTTGAACAGTCCACATTTAATGCTTCAATTTTAATGAATAAATTGTCTTCAACCAGATAATACTTGACTAAAGAATTGGACCTGTTTGCGGTTATCGGTTCGCCATAAACGTCAATCTTAAAGTTCCTATTTTATCTGACGCCCAGATGAAGTTTGTTTTTCAGAATTTTTCACCGCCCAACTGTGCCAAATATAGTATTTTGTCACGTCCCAGATTTTGGGAAGAACGTGGCGAACTAATACCAAGGTTCTCGCCGTGCGTAATGAAGACCCTTGATATGAAGTTAATGATGTCACTGAACTCGCAATTGGAGAGCTGTGAACAGTCAAAGGCATGGTAATAAATTTCTTGAAAGTTAAACAAACTGAACGCTCGAGTTTAATTATTTCAATTATTTGTTTGGATTCTTATACGTAAGGCTTTGAACCAACGAAACACAGAATGCACACGTTTAAATCCTAACCATTTTTTATATCTCTATGGATAGAAGATTTTGTCATGTACCTCAAGTTTATAGCTTCCTTTTTTTCATTCACCTCCTCCATGTTTTCAATCTTCACCTTCAGTCCCTCCACTTTAATTCCAACCAGAGAAAGTTCTTCCTGCAAGCGTTCCTTCATCCTTCCTGATTCGTAATCCGCCAAGACTTCCAGAAACCTTTCGTCTGTGAAACAATGTAACTCAAAATGCAAACTTCCTGGTCGAATGCCACGAACGTCCTGATCATCACGTTCGCCACCAACACCTCTTTCAACTGCACCTTCGATTATTGGTTTTAATGAATTATAAGCCACATACACAGCTCCCAGACCTAATCCTATTCCCAGTCCTGCTCCTAGTCCTTGTCCCAGTCCTTGTCCTAGCGTTTTCGCTGTTCCACACACCTCCTTTGCTACTTCTACATTGTCCGTGGCAACAGTGAACGCAAATAAACCACCAAATAATGATGCACCAATTCGTAAAACTTTTCCAGCTTCCGAAAATGTCTCTGCCATACAGGAGATATGCTAAAAGATATTATAATATATATTAAAATATATTAAAAGATATTATAACATAAGCAGCCCAAAAATAAGCGTGTGCCATCAATGTTTATCATCGTACATGACTAATGTTAAGGTATGGGCTCTGCTAAGACCTACGAAGTAACCATATAAATAAATGCCACAAACATCAATATACACAAATAGAAACTTGAAATTAAAAATACCAAAGAATGATAACTTCCCTGATCCCTGAGGGAAAAAAAATTGAAATACGCATTTGCCGTGAATTATTTTGGCCACACACCTGGATGCCAGAGGTTGTGGCCCACGTCATTTTTTCACTAATGCATGAAAGTGATTGGCATAAAAACAGGGAAGTCGCATTTTTCGCTATACTATATTATATAAAGACAATGACGTGACCTAAAACTCTGGCATCCTGGTGGGGGACAAAATAATTCACGTCATATACGTAAAAAATGTGTCAGACAGACGTAAATAACGATTAACTTGAATGCAGATTTCTTGAAACACTTTCTAGAATACATGTGGTAATCTATCAGTACTATAATACAATAGTGCCGGTCTAGCTGTTTTAACAGTATAAAGGAAAACGCCCTATAATTTCAACTAGACTCTTTTGATATTTTTGCCTTTCTCTTTTACATGGTTAATTCGTAAGCTCGAGCGGAAGTTGCTTTCCTTAGCGTTATATAGGAACATAAACATTGATGTCGCACGCTTATTTTTGGGCTGTCTGTCTTCATAACAAAGTACAATACTCTCCGAGCGAGTAAGCGCCATGCCAGGGTTCTAATCCGCCCAAAAACTAAGCTAAAACATGTATATATTCCCGTCTTCAAGCTAAATCTGATGATTATCTCCCGAGACACGCAGTCAACTGAAACATTCAATCACCTCACAAAGAGCAATCTCATGTGAAACTCATTGATATCCGGATTTCTCCTCTATAACCTGACGCTAACAATATTTCAAAGATTTTGAATATCCACTCTAGTTAAAAAAATTTGAGGATTTTTTCGACTCACGGCAGTTCCTAATAACCGATATTAATTGCTTATCTATCTTCTGAATGAAATTTTCACTGTAAGGTCAGCGATGACGTCTTAAGTCTTTGACATAATATGCTTTATTATAGTCGACTGAATCCGTGCGTTTTTTTCTATTTTATGTTATTCGAAACCATGGGTTCGCAAACGTTGTGGAAATTCAGCAATTTCCAGCGTCTGGGAATTTATCAACAATATATAGGATAGTTATGATACGATCGAGTTTAAGTTTGATGTCAGGTAACCAAGGCGAAGCACTTTGCATGTTTTTATTATTCATGCAAAGTATCTCTATAGAAGTATCGCTATTCTATATCGTAAATGCGAAGTTTTTTGTGTCATTTTAAAATGACCACAAACATATCTTCTCAAGGTTGATTCATCATCGTCGGCAAGTGAACAATTGCATGGCTTTCATTGACTTAAAGCTTCCAAACATATATCGACTTGGCACATCCGTTAGAAGCATATATAGTTCCCGATGTATAAAATTTCCGACAGCTCTATTAGAGTCAGTACTACCTCTTCCAAGAGCTTCGATCGTGAGTTGCGAAAATTGATCTTTTAACTCTATTGCCGAAGTGAAATTCGATAATCTATTACGGTATTTTGATAGTGAATTACGGTATTTCTACCACAACAACGAACACTTTATAAACAAAAGTATGCTCAAATCAGTTACTAAAGAGTAATATATCAAACCAAAACGCTACATACTGTTCATGCAATTACATACTATAAAATGGTACCTCAAGTTTCGAATACTTTGTGTGTAAACGTCAATAAATAATGATTTTCTCTGGCTTATTTGCAGCATAATATTCAGAGGCGAAGCGTGACTTTCTTAACTGAAGGAGGGGCGGAGGCAACACCTAAGTTTACCGACAAACACGTCACACTTGAAGCCCCTGTAAAGAAAGCATACAGCCTTTTGCTCGGTTGGTGCAAGGTTTAATTATTGTATCATTTATAATTTAAAATGAATTGCTGAAGTAACTATCTACAGTATATACAAACATTATAATTAACAACTGGCTTTCACTGTAGCATGTATCGATATCACTGGTAAAGCCGATATCACTGGCACATAATTATTGATTAGATTACATTACATGCAAAATTTTGAGAATCTGTTAAGCCTCGTTTACACCACAGTCAATTTATCGGCACGGAACGGCTAAAATTGGCACCTGTACTTAATTTTATTAGTGTTCAGGCTACCAAAAAGGCTGAGAACAGATGAAATGGGCACAGGTGCCGTGGCAATAAATCAAGTGTGGTGTAAACGGGGCTTAAGCAAGTCGAGCTTAAGAGTCAGGTTGTGCTTTTTACTGACACTTATGTGCTGTTAATTAAGGCGATTCTCTATCACCGTGCACTTCATCCGCTTTGAAAAGCTTTTCCGGGTGGAGCGGACGTAATGATCGCAGAATCGCCTTGAAAATCCAAGAATCGCCTGATTCTCATATGTCATTGACGTTCAACGATGTATTGTTTGTGGTCGTTCACGAAGAAAATTTATATAAAATAACTAAGCGTTTTATTCTCTAGTGATCACCGACAATAGCCATCGCCGACCGTCGGTGACATATAAGAATCGGGCTGACGACCTGACGAAAACTGCGGGGGTGTAGCCCCACCCACATCCACCGGACGCTACGCCCCTGATAATATTGCCTGCTCTTGGTCATCGTCCGCTAAGTTTCAAATTGCAAATCACGTGTTTATTCTGGGACTATATGCAAATGTACCTAAAGTTTCGAAAACTTTGTGTTGAAATGTTGACAAGGAACGATTTTCTCTGGCTTGAGCAGTATAATGTTGTCTATTCTCAATGATATCTGCAAGTTTCTGATCACAAATCTCGTGTTTACTCTGGGACTACATGCACTGGTTTACTATGACTTATGGTTTATGTTGATATCAGACACTGATTATATAATATTTGGTGACCATGTTGCCTATGCTTTTAACGCAAACTCTCTTTGCAAATTAAACCACCCCTAGATACGAAATTTGTTTAAGCATAGATTCACTGGATGACTATAAAGCAAGTAGTTTTTTTTCTCCGAACGGCTACCGTGTCGTCTTGACTTTTTCTTGTGTATATTTATCACCAAATATATCGAAAGCACAAAGATTAGAAATTCTGCGTGGAGTTTTATTTATAAAACTTATAATATGACAAAATTACATATGATAAAATTACAAGATATTTAACAAATAGATAACATTGAACCGTTGTCTGTTCAGTTAGAGAGAGATACCCAGATGACGTCATTTGTGATAAGAACAAAACAAAGTGGCCACGAGCCGCCGTTTATATAATAAAATCGGAAAAATTCCGAAATTAAACTGGCAAATAGTTTCCCCAACATTTGGAAAATTGTCAAAGTAAAAATTTTGCAGATATCATGCGTAAATGATCTATAAGATTGAAGAATGCTATTGGCTAGCTTAAGACACGTGCTAAAGTCGGTGATTGGCTGACAAAAATAAAACAAAGATTACTGATTAAATTCGCTAAAATTACCCTGCGTCTGTCCTCTTATAGATCATGGGTCTCGACCTATGAAATTGCTTGAATCCTTAACGTTATTATATAAAATATTATACAACACACAAATGTGATACACTTACGGCACGATACGATATAATACATGATACGTTACTGTACAATGCAACACATCACAACAAAAATGGAACGGCTGGAACTCTACAACATTTTAAAAACCAATTACTACTGAAACATCAGTCTAGAACGCCCTACTGACACATCAGTCTCGAAACAACAACTTTTAACATTGTTCAAACTCCAACAAACATTCCCAAGTGTTTGGATCAGGCCATCCAAGCACCGGAAACCATTAAGTAAGTTGTTTTTTAAAAAAAACACCTGATCACCTTACCTGATCCAAACATGGAGCGTCTAATATGGTTTAATTTAATAAGGCTAAATCTAATATAGTTTAATTTTCGCAAATAAATTCCCTCATGGATCAATATCTTTTGAAATTAGGTTGGACTGTAGAAAATATTCTTGATCCAGTTCGTGTTTGAGATCTACGACATTACAGGGGTAGGGACTGGGGAAGATAACAATATTGAGAGCATCGCGTTCTTCGTTTCCTGTTTTAGGCGTTTGGAATATTTGGAAATAATTTATAAAGTAAGCTCATTGAAACTGGAAATTAAAGAAATACAAGGTACATTTTATGCATATTTATTGTTTCTGTAGAATGTATTTCATTTCACAAAATAGTCCTGACTAAACTGGAAATTTCTATATTTGCCGGGACAAAATGGATCAGCAAAAACGTAATTACTTGTACATGTTAATTTGTACGCGTGTGAAATCAAGTTTTCCTTCCTTTGAACGTAAATTAACCAAACCGAGTACATTCTGAACATGATATATAAAAATCAAATAACATATGATTGCAATAATAAGGGTGCGCCATTTTGTTTTTAGTCAGTTCGTTAGCGCTCATCATGAACTGTCGATCGCTTGTGCAAGTTGCTTAGCTTTGTATGTCGCTATAAAACGTTGGTAATGAAAAACCGACAAAATTAGATGATAAGTATGTATGTCAAAATACATTTATTTTATGCTTGGCCCAGACTATTTGCAAAAGGGGGAGGTTTGCATATTCTTTTATGCCAGACTGACTTCTTTGTAACACGATATATGAATACCCTCTCCCCAATTAAGCGGTCTAGCTACGGCCTTGTGCGTGATGAACATGAAATTTGAAAATCGTTCTCTCTTCTCTACCAACACCCCCCCCCCCTTGCTCTCTTAATTTCATCCCAACCTCTGTTGAGAAGAGAACATATTGACTGGCGCTTATAGTTTAGGTCATTGGATAATGATAAATAAAACATATTTATTACATTAGAATATTACAAAACTAAAATGTGACTGCTACTAAATAACTAAAACACCTTTAGTGTTGGTATTGTAATATAGAATTTTTTTGCCTCCGTATCTGGAAGAATGCGTTGGTTATTTCTTGATCGTCATTGATATTATTATTATTATTATTATTAAAACTTTATTTCATGAGGGGTTCACATTGTTACCTTAAGGTATTCTTCCCAATGGCCCTCGAAAGGTAATATGAAAGATTTCATCGCGAGAAACATTGGCAACGAATGATATGCTTGCATACAGTGCAGCTATTCATTAACATGGTCTACTTCATTGTTTAATTGAAGAAAAAAGGTTTTAAGCTTTTGTTTAAAAGAGTTAGGTGACTGACTCTCCATTCGTATTAGTCCAAACTCTTCAGAGATAAATCGTATTTTATCAGCTCGTCCTGATCTTTTTTCATTTCTTTCCTAATCATACACTCACAGTTGTTCGTCGAAGTTTAAATGTGAGACTTACGGAAGACATGTACAGTGTATGACTGATCTGGCCAACGTTCTAAAACTTTAATTTTATTAAATATGTGAATATATATAACAAGAAAATATCAAATTTCAAACACGACTGTTTTACTCCACGGTCTACCACAGCAATTGTTTGCCCTGCAACTATTGTTTCATGAAATGCCTACGCTAAAATAGCTATTCACAACCCTCATAATTATATGCGAAGTAAAAATTAAGAAGAAGACTACCATATACGCTTGGCTGAGCAATCCCACGTATTTTACGGCGCTGCGGGGAATTCCTTAGATCTAGCTCCCCCTAAGCCATGCTCGTCAAGCCTTGTTTAGGCACTGGATCACCATTACCCCTACTTAATTTGACTGGGTATGATCGTAAGAATTGTGAATAGGAAATTTTGATAAATTTATCTCGAATTATCTGCTTGAAATAAGCTTGATATCCGTTTCATTTGTAATTTTTCACTGCATCTTGTACGAGTCCAATATCTTGGTAACTTTGAGCAGTATCAACATGACGCTCACCAAATATTTGTAATCTGATACGAAGAGCTTTCTCATATGATTCTAAGGCTGCCTTGTAACCTTCCATTGTGTGCTTGCTGTGTTGTGCGACTCCAATTTCGCGATAAAGTTCCGCAGTTTGAGGAAGATTCTCTCAAAAAGTTTTAAATTGATCTCGAGGGCATATTGATATGATTCTAATGCTGATTTGTAATCTTTTAAATTGTGTTGTTCATGGCCAACTTCATGATAGCTATGACCAGTGTCACAATGGTGTTCTCCATTCATATTCAATCTGATTCGTAAAGTACGTTGATGTGATTCTAATGCTGACTTGTGATCTTTCATCTTATGGTTTGTGACGCCAATCCTGAAGTAAGTCATTTCAGTAGATAAATCATTTTCTCCAAATAGTTTCAATTTGATCTGGAGGGCGTGTTAATATGATGCTAATGCTGATTTGTAATCTTTCAAAAACTCTTGTTGAAAACCAACTTCATGATAACTGTTACTAGTGTCACTATGGTGTTCTCCATTCAGCTTTAAACTGATTTGTAAAGCACGTTGATGTGATTCCAATGCTGAGTTGTAATCTTTCATTTCATGGTGTGTTACGCCAATAGTGAAATAAGTTATTGCAGTAGATAAATTATTTTCTCCAAATAGTTTCAATTTTATCGGGAGGGCATGTTGATATGATACTAATGCTGATTTGTAATCTTTCAAAAACGTTTGTTCAAGACCCATTTCATGATATTTGTTACCAGTGTCACTATGGTGTTCTCCATTCAGCTTTAATCTCATATGTGAAGCACGTTGATATGATGCCAATGCTGACTTGTAATCTTTCAAGCAATGTTGTTCAACACCAACCGAGTGATAACTATTTCCAGAGTCAGTATGGTGTTCTCCATTCAGCTTTAATCTTATTTGTAAAGCACGTTGATGTGATTCTAATGCTGACTTGTAATCTTTCATCCCATGGTTTGTGACGCCAATCCTGAAGTACGTCATTGCAGTAGATTAATTATTTTCTCAAAATAGTTTCAATTTGATCTGGAGGGCGCGTTGATATGATTCTAATGCTGATTTGTAGTCTTTTAAGAACTCTTGTTCAAGGCTAACTTCATGATAACTGTTACCAGTGTCACTATGGTGTTCTCCATTCAGCTTTAATCTGATTTGTAAAGCACGTTGATGTGATTCTAATGCTGACTTGTAATCTTTCATCTCATGGTTTGTGACGCCAATGTTGAAGTAACTGTCAGCTGTGTTGCTATGATTCTCGCCAAACACTCTTAATCTGATTTCAAGGGCACGTTGAAACGATTCTAATGATGACTTGTAGTTTTTCATTTTATATTGTGTGACTCCAATTCTATTATAGGTTGAGGCAGTAGATGAATGATTCTCTCCATGCAGTTTTTTTATTTCAAGGGCATGCTTATATGATGTTAATGCAGACTTATACTCTTTCAACATATGTTGTGCCACACCAACTTCATGATAACTATCTCCATTGTCATCTCCATTCAGCTTCAATCTGATTTGTATGAATGTATAAGTCTTTATTAAAATTAGAATGTTGCATAAAGGAGTCACAACAAACGTGGGACTTTACATTGCATAAGACTTAGCTAAATTATTAACATTACTATAACTTTTAAATTATTTACATTATATTTCAACTAAATTATTTACATTACATTATAAACATTATAATAGTAAGATATAGGAAAGGTATTAAAAGTCATTAAAAAGGCACTTATTTAAAAATGATTGTTTAAAACGTTCTGTATTAACTTTCGGGAAAATGAATTGGTGATCACGTTCTCTTAAAGATCGCTTTCGTTTTTCCGGTAGCAGTTCATAAAGGCAATGTTCAGGATTGTTTATGATCTTATTAAACAATGACCGATCTTTTTCCTCAATCATTTGGCTAAGGAATATTTATTTTGAGTGTATCCATATCGGAATGCCCGATTGAAGAACTTGTTAATTTTTTCAATATATTTCCCTTGTAATGCAGATCCCATACTTCAATTCCATAGTGGAATAATGACAGAATTAAAGAGTCAAACAATTTAGTGAGCTCGCTTGGCGAATATCCATAAAACTTAAAAATTTGTAAAGCACGTTGATGAAATTCTAATGCTGACTTGTAATCCTGCAGCTTTTCTTGTGCCACTCCAATATCGTAGTAACTTTGTGCCGTTTTGAGATGATTTTCACCGTAAAGCTTCAATGTAATTTAAGAGCTTTTTGTTTTGATGCCAGTACTGAATGGCGGTTGTTGCTTTCGATTGTCGTTTTGGTCTAAGAAAGCAATTTTTCGTTGCAGTTATTTATGACGTAATATTTCAGATATTGTCCCCATTTAATGGCAGAAATTTCCATGAAAGAAATTGCCCAAAAAAGCTGAAAAATTATCTTGACCACGTTGGGAATCAAACCCGCGAAATTTACCAGATATCGATTTTCGTTAAATTAAATGTTGTTGTTACCGACAAACGCCTTTAATCAACCACCTTGCTTGCACCCACCCTCACACCCTACGCCCCTGTCTACTTACCTCGTTACCCTTATCACACTTCTTCTCATCAGCTATGGCAAGATCTTTCATCCCATCACAAGGATTATTCATAGCACTTGATGTGCGCAAAATCAGTTATTTTATTAAGAAGTGAACGTAAAATAAAAAAACCTGCAAAATAATCGCGGGAAATTTTTGACTGTTGCGAGTTTGCACTAAATTTATCTTCATATAGCTTCTACTACAGTCTACAAACTCTTTTTTATCGCATTTTATAAGTCTAAGTATTGCCTAACGTGAATCACATCCTGTTATGACATGCGACAATCTTTTTCCTGGTTGTCACGCGATGTTACATATTCCATGATGCACTCGTTCGTAAAACCTTTCCAGCTTCGAAAAGTGTCTCAGCCATACAGGAGATATGCTAAAAGATCTCTCGAACCCGTTCGCTCGAACCCGGAGCCACGAACCCGGAGCTGAATATCCTGTCATGCATTCCTCACTTCTTAGAAAATTTGCTTACAAAAGCTTGACTCTATCGAGGGGTGGGAGGAATATTTAATATATTTTTTTCAAATATTCAAAGATTATTCAAAGCATCCTCCCGCACAGTAAAAGTCTGCATATTTAAATTGCGAGAGCTTCCAGGTTGTATGCGTAAGAATAAAGAATAATGATTGTACAGTATTATTATAGCTTTGACGTGTAGATGGTAGTCGAATATGTTCTTCTTATTGAGAGTTCTCTGTTTAATTTATTTGAAATAATTATTTGCCGCGCATTTCCATGTTTTAATTTAAACGCCTGTCGTTAATGTTGACTTTGTATGTTGTCTGAATAAGTCAATGAGACTTAATTACTCCAATGTTAATGATATATGGGGGGTCATTATCAACGATTTTTTGTTATATTGCTTTGTTGCATTTCTGTTGTCTTAAAATTCAATTTACATTTTTGCTCGTGCCACCACAACATTGAACGTCGATAAGCGCTACTTCCAGGCTGCGCAGTTCTCCCTGGTGCTGCCCAGGTTGCTCTTGGAATACCCGAAAAGTCGATATCCCTTTTCCCGGCTATTCGCTCTAAATTTAGGCTTCTGTGAATAATAAAACAACGCGTATAGCTTTTGTTTCTTAGACGAACTGCATTTGAGCAACTACTTCAAAATCGGTAGAAACTATAATTACTATATGATATTTTCCCCTCCCGCGAATTTGGTTCATGGGAAAAATTGTATTTCTATCATTCTATCATTCTATCATTTACACTATATGATAGAATGCAACCCCTCTCAACTTTTGATGTTTTTATGGTGATGCGAATGTACCCAAGACCCACCTAATAAAGAGTTATACCTACAAGTCCTACGATATATCTACAATTTATTACCTTTTAAATCGCCCATACACATTTGGATGCAAATGTATCGTCCTTAAGCTGCCTGACCGTGTTAGGAGAACATTCATTGCATTACGCATTGTTTTTAATAATATCATTACAAATGAAATTAAATCTTCAAAAACTAGTTAGAGTTTTCTAGGCCAGTTTGTATTGAATTATGTGAAATATCTTTTTGGGTATTATTACATAATGTGAAATATTTGGCGCTAAGTATAACTACGGCAAAATTCATTTTTCTCCAAACTTCTGCTAAAAACCGCCAGTCTTGGGTTTTAATCTAGAAAACAATTCGTGTAGTTTCCTTATATCCTGTTGCCCCAAATCACAAGAGACACAAAACTGATTAAATATAGGGCAAACGGACATGATGTGTTAGCGACTTCTTCTTATATAATTGCTAACAACTGAAGCTGATACTTTTTATAGGGGGGGGCTTCATTTTTTGTCCACCCACTGTATGTTAAAGAATAAATGAAAAGCGCTTTTAGTTTTCTTCTACCTCATCAATGTTTACAACTGAGCCCTGACTTTGGCGGGGGGGAGGGCGCAAGCGCGTTTAAGGGTATCAGGGGCCCCACAGGGGCAAAATGTAGAATTCTTGGGCCTCTAAATTCTAAAAGAGGTCCCCCATGGAGGATTGGAGTTTTTCTTGTAACCTTGTCTTCTTTGACCATGAGATAGCCCCCTAACAACTATTTAGGAATGACTGGATGATATTGTAAAAAATTAAGGTTGACAAAATAATGATCACATGAGACTAGCATCATTACCACTGATCTATTTATATCGATATCTTTAAATGATTCGCTAAATCCCTGGCAGAAAGATTCCAGTAGGACAATTATGTAGCCTATATGCCGAGCGAATGTAAAGGTGGGAAATTTTGAGATAGTGAAGCACGTCGTCGCGTCAAACCAACTGCACTAGCATAACTTCGTACCACACACGTTCAAGTATAACGCTTTTATTAAATCTTTCGAATTAGTGACACTACAATTTGCATTACTCAGGTTATAGCAAATTGAAGAGGTCAAATCGTCTACAATTTGTATATACAAAGTACAAGAATAAAATCGACGAACACCCGATTTTTTAAAATACCTGTCCGTTCGTATGGTCACGGTTTAGACCTAAGGATAGGTTGATGAATTATCGAAAATTATCCAATTACATGGCTCGTCTATGGCGCAAATACTGTAGATATTTGAACGTGAATGTTGTTTTTAGGTTCTATCATATTTATGACTCCTCAAATGACTATTTCGAAACATATCTGAACTACAACAAGGAGTGTTATATAAACGAAAGTACTCACAAATCAGTTGCAAAAAATTAAAATATCCGACCAAAACGCTATATACTGTTCATACAAATACATGCTATAAAATGGTACCTCAAGTGTCGATCACATTGCATTTGAACGTCGATAAGGAATGATTTTCTCTGGCCTGAGCAGCAATATTGTCTATTCGCGACTACCGCAACACAAAGTTTCAAATTACATATCATGAGCTTACTTTGACGCGTAGATGGATGACAATGATTGATACCTAAAATCTGGTGACCATATTGCACAGCGGGGCAATTTTTGATCTATCCTTTTATTCTTTTAAAACATCCTTATTATCCCGTTAAAATATATGCTGGTAGCCTGATAGGGTGCCTGTGTTACATATATATACCTCTGTATTCAAAAAGTTATCTCACACTCATTACGTGTACGTAGAAATTGATTTTTCACTGATTTTTATAGTGAGATAGTCCTTTCTTGTAAAATATTGTAAAATGAGATAGTCCTTTCTTGTCAAGCTGACATTCTGATTAGCTCCGAGCAGGTAAGCTTTTTTCGAGCTCACCGGTGAGTTCGGGATTTTCAAGATGGCCGCCGAAAATTGTTCGGCAAAATCAGTAAACCTTGGCAATTTTTTCGCAAAATAATATGTGCATTTTCTCCTTCGTAAATAAGGGAGCATTTTAGATTTTTTTAGCTTTAATTCGAGCGTAAATTTATCTGTTTACGTTGCATGTTTGCGACTAGAGTCTGTTTGAACAAGAATTATGTACTAAAAACTTCTGAATTTTTCGTAACTTTCTGAACACTTTTTCCCGAAAAGGCATGAGATAAAAACTATGAACATAATTGCAGGTTTGATGATTCTGAAAAAAAAAAAACGCACATCGGGACTTGATGGGTTGGACGTTTCCCGAGAACCTCCCAGCCTCCTCCGTGCGTTAAGGTGACTCGATACAGTCTTCAAAAATTCCATCGTTCATCACTTTGACACGTTCAAACAACGCATTTTTATGATTTATTCCAGAGATATTCGGGGTTTTTATATATTTTGAAGTTTCTGCTTTTGAATCGTATTAGTTTTAGTAACAAATCGTCCGTTGCTATGGCGACATACGTGTACATAATTCACTCCAAAATGGCCAATTGCCTCGGATAGTTGGAAAACAAGCACGGTGACCCCCAATTTTTTTTCGTGCATTATTTTACTTGGAAGAAAAACTAACAATTAGCAAAATACAAAAATATTCTATAATGGCAAAAAAAAATTATCGAAAAAAATGTCATTTTTACATTTTTCAAAAATTTGGCATTATAGAATTTTTTTATATTTTGCCAATTGTTAGTTTTTCTTCCAAGTAAAATAATGAACGAAAAAAAATTGGGGGTCACCGTGCTTGTTTTCCAACGTCCCAATGGGAACGGACGATCTGTTACTAAAACTAATACGATTCAAAAGTGGAGACATCAAAATATATAAAACCCCGAATATCTCTGGAATAAATCACAAAAATGCGTTGTTTGAACGTGTCAAAACTGATGAACAATGGAATTCTTGAAAACTGTCCCGAGCCACCTTAAGCACGTTTTCACCTCCCTGCAAGTATGTTTACTATAGAGTGGAACTTCTGCAAAGGTATCGCAATGCCGTAATTAAGATTTCCCATGCACTTAATGAGTTGTTAATGATTTTGAGTATGAGTAAGCGTTAGAATACAGGCGATACACTTTTACATAACGTCAAATAGAGAAAAGCTGGTACGCAGAGGCGTACGTGAGCCTGCGTTCTTTTGTTCTTTGCACTTCTAGGCAGCGTTTTCGTTTTTGGGAAGGGAGGAATATTTAATATATTCTTTTCAAATGTTATTTGTCTCAGGTATTATAAAGCATGCTACCGCACAGTAAAAGTCTGCATATTTAAATTGTGAGAGCTCTGCTTCCAGGTGGCATGTGTAAGAATGAAGAAGAATAATTGTATAGTATAATTATAGTGGTTACGTGTAGACGGTAGTCAAATAATATGTTTTAATATAATATGTTTAATAATAATTTTCTGTTAAATTTAATTGAAAAAATTCTTTTCCGCGCACTTCTATTTCCCTCGTGCTTCCCAGATTGTATAAATTTTCCCTCCTGGGAAGTCATATTTATCGCTACTATTATATAAAAAGAAATGACGTGGGCCAAAACCCCTGGCATCTCGGTGGGAGACAAAATAATTCATGGCAAATACGTAAAAAATGCACTCAGTTTCCCTTTAACTAGCTGCATGAAAACCTTTTTTGTCAGGTGTTATTACCTTTTAAATCGCCCATACACATTTGGATGCAAATGTTTCGTCCTTAAGCTGCATGACTGTGTTAGGAGAACATTCATTCATTACGCATTGTTTTTTTTATGCTCCTGTAACACAACA